TGATATGAGGAATTACTTCATATTCTATTTTCATTCTTGTTTTTTCTTCTCTTCTTCTCTTTCTCTTGTTCTCTCTTTCTCTCTCTTCCTCTTTCTCTGCGTCTTTCCGTCTCTCTTTTTCTCTTCCTCTGTCTGTCTCACACACAAACACACACACACACACAGACACACACACTCTCTCACTCTCTCTCTCTCCATCTCTCTCTCCATTTCTCTCTCAATTTCTCTGTCCATCTCCCTCTCCCTCTCACCCTCACCCTCTCTCTCTCTCTCTCTCTCTCTCTCCTTATTCTTCATTACGTCACTTCAAGCGAGTCTTTGATCGTATCATGTCAATAGCTGACCTCAGAATCGCCACGTCAGACCAATCAGTAATCAGCAGCGTCAGCAAATGTCAGCGACTGTTCGAGCGTCTGTTTTGAGAGTAAGGCATGGGGCGGAGGGAGGAGGGAGGAGGGAGGAGGGAGGTGGGAGGGAGGGAGGAGGGGAGGGAGGGGGGGGGGAGGGAGGAGGGAGGGAGGAGGGGGGGAAGGGGAGGAGGGGAGGGAGGGAGGGAGGAGGGAGGAAGGGGGGAAGGGGGGGAGGGAGGGGGGGCGAGGGGTGCTTAGTGTGGAAGAGGAAGAGTGTGGGAAGAAGGGGTAGGAGGAGAGGAGAGGGGGAGAGGGGGGTAAAGGGAGAAGGGGGTAGGGAGAAAGGAGAGGGGGAGAGGGGGGGTAGGGGGAGAGGAGAGGGTAAAGTGTATGGGGAGAGGGGGCAAAGGGGGAGAAAAGGTGGGGGGAGAGGTAAGGGGTAAGGGGTAAGGGCAGAAGGGGAGAGGGGGTAGAAGGAGAAGGGGTAGGGGGGGGTGAGAAAGGACCTGAATGGAGGGGATTTTTCCTAATCATCATCATCATTACTGTTGTTGTTGTTGTTTTGTCTCATTCATTGTTTCTTCTTTATATTACGAAATCCTATTATTCTTTGTTTTTCTCTATCTATTATATGTTTCTTTTATATATGGTATTTTATCTGTATCAATAATTCATCTCACAAAATACTGCTTCCTAATGCACGGACATAAACGCACATACACACACAAAGCTAAACATACATATAGACGCCGACGCACACGCACACGCACCCACTACTCTCTCTCTCTCTATCTATCTATCTATCTATCTATCTATCTATCCGTCTATCTATCAATCTCTCTCTCTCTCTCTTTATCTATCTATCTATCAATCTCTCTCTCTCTTTCTCTCGCTCTCGCTCTCTCTCTCTCTCTCTTTCTCTCTCTCTCCTCTCTCTCTCTCTCTCTCTCTCTCTCTCTTCTCTCTCTCTCTCTCTCTCTCTCTCTCTCTCTTTCTCTTTCTCTTTCAAAAGAAAGAAAGAGAGAAAGAGAAGGAAAGAGAGAGAAACTTTTTTTTCTTTTCCTTAAAATTTTCCCACTTCAGTGTAAGACAAAGAGCTTTTTCAACACGCCAAGAATTCCCCAAAGTGATCGCGGAAGGTCCAGGATAATGCAAATAAATTTCTTTTTCTTTTTTAGCGTTTTTAATTGTCCCTTTAATAACAATTATTCGCTAATAATAAGCCTGCTGATTGCATGGATTCGAACACGCCCGACTGCTGGAAGAAGAGTTTCCGTTTTCTTTATTTTTTCGTTTTCTTTTGTGTCTTTTTTTCTTATAGTATTCTCGTTTTCTTTTTGTGGTTTTTTTATCTATTTATTTGATTTTCGCGATTCTCTCCTTCGCTTCACGCAGAAAAAGGGAATGGAGTAAACGCGGATAAAACAGAACGAAAGAAGATTGAGTAACGAGGCTTAATACAAGAAAAAAGAAAAAGAAAATGAAAAAAAAAAACTGAAACAATAACGAATAAATGAATAAAAGAGAGTTCATGTTCTGCCAACATCTCTCTTACGAAAAGAAAAAAAAAAAGAAAAAAGAAAGAGAAAAATTAACAACATAATGACACTCATGGTTGACACTGGCATCGATTTTGCACTCGAGGAAACGGACAAATAGAAACGTGTGGAGAAATGGGAAAGTTGTTTTTTCTTTTATTTTATTTTCTCTTTCGCTTTCTTTCTTTTCTTGCTTTCTCTCTCTCTTTCTCTCTCTCTCTCTCTCTCTCTCTCTCTCTTTCTCTCTCTTTCTCTCTCTTCTCTTCTCTCTCTCTCTCTCTCTCTCTTCTCTCTCTCTCTCTCTCTCTCTCTCTCTCTCTCTCATATATATATATATCCTTTACCTTCACCCTCACTCTTTCTTTCCCCTTCCTCCTCCCCCTTCCTCCCCCCCTCCCCCTTCCACCCCCCCTCCCCCCCTCTCTCTTCGTTTCCACAACAAAAATCCGAAATTCACTCGCTCTCCCTTTTCCGTTCCTTGTTCACACGCACAGACAATCAGTCACACACATGCCAACCGCTGCGTCATGAAGGTGACACATGACACCCTACCTTATACCTGGTTACGCGTGTATGTGTCATGTAGCTTGGCATGACACCTGTCAATTAAAAGTGACTTCTTGTTTCCCGTATTTCTTATTATCAT